TATATGTTTGGCAGTGAAGACTCCAAATACACTCAATTAACAAAACAGCAGAACATATTCAAAGATGTATGAGAATTATGATTGTAAAATATAAAATGTAATGCAGAAACTAGAATCATAAATCGTAGAGAGTTATGAGAATTCATAAAATCGAAGGTTATGAGAAGAAACTGACCTACTGCAATGGCTATGGCGAATGAGAACTCCAAATTACGAACAGTAAAATCGAAGATGATGGGAGATTGAAAAGCGAATTGAAATTGACACAATAAAGTCGTAGATGATGGGGAATTGAAAAGCGAAATAGAAGAATCAAGAGTGTGTCGCAAGCAACGAAGCAGCGAAGAAGAGTTGCCGCTGGGCAGTTGGTACGAAAGAGACGAAGGAAAAAGGCAGAGAGGAAGGATTGCTGAACCGAAGAAAAGAAGAAACGGAGGATTTCAAACTACCGTTTAAGAGGACGGTAATTACTCCTATTTTGGGTATATAATCAATGGATTCTTACATTAGAGTTAAGCTTAATGTTTTACTATGGGGTTTTCTTTTCCTAATACCACAATAAAAAAATCCTAATCCAGAAAACGTTGATTTCAAATCTAAAATCAACCTCCAATGATCCAATCCGTAGTCTCGCGGGGCTCAGCGAAGAAGCTTAGGAGCAGATCAGCCTGAAGTAATTGCACCTGCTACAATGTCTCAACGCACAAAAATCATTAAATCTTCCGACGATAGCGACACAAAAGTGAAATTTTGTTTCATCCCTATTTAATTTCATGAACCTAGCGAATCGGTTTTTGCAATTAAGTTGCCACAACTAATTGAATTTTGTGAGAAATTCATCTCATATTGTTGGGGGGATTTGCAGAACTCGGCGCAGAAACTTAAGGAGCTTGAGGTTACTGTCCCAATCGTGTATGGAAATATTGCGTTTTGGCTTGGTAAGAAGGCAAGCGAGTGAGTATTGCTCAAGATGATGGTTGTTTTTTTTATACTTTCTTTATGAATATTTGATTAGATGTCTTACCGGAGCCATTGTTAATTGCTGTATAGGTATCAGTCTCATAAATGGACAGTTTATGTCCGGGGGGCAACAAATGAAGACCTTAGCGTGGTTATAAAACGAGCAGTTTTCCAGCTGCACTCGAGTTTTAATAACCCGACAAGGGTGCTGGATGCTCCTCCTTTTGAGCTGTCTGAGTGTGGATGGGGTGAATTTGAGATTGCTATTACTCTTTTTTTCCACAATGATGTTTGTGACAAGCCATTGCACTTGTGAGGTTCTTTTTTTTAATCGTTTAAGTTGTATTTTTTAGCTTCTCAAAAAAGTTATATTCTTGGACTAAACTTGTGACTGAACACAAATAATAATGGAGTTAATGGTGAATATTTGATTCGTTTACATCCCTAACTGTGATTAAAAAACAATGTGTTTGACAAAGGAGCTAAACAAGTCATTATTTACAATGTTTTAGCTTCAAGTAAAGATTGGGCTAAATCAAAATAACACATTAAACTTCACTTTTTTGAATTTAGATGAAGTTTTAGGCACGAACAATTCATAAAAGGGTTCATCGGAAACATCCCCTCTCTTTTTTTTACAGTGGTAAGGCTGTGTACATTTACCACTACGCCCCAGCAGATGTGGGATTATATTGGGTTGGGTGTTGTTTTTGTTGTTGTTAGGAGTTTAAAAATAGGGTGAGCTACTCGTATAGTTGAATCTCAATAATAGGCAATGCATTTTTTTCATGTATTATTCATATGGATCTTTACAAATGCTAGGATAAAATTTGAATTCAACACTTAGCAAATTTCACATTTAGAATATCAATGCTATAATTCAATTTTTAACTTTGTGTTACAGGTTCCACCATCTAAAGCTATATCCAGAGGACGAGTCTGGTTCTCTTTCCACAAAGAAACCTATCATTGTTGAATCATATGACGAAATTGTTTTAGCCAAATCTTCTGAAGCTTTCCTCGCTCGTGTGCAGAACCATCCAGCATTAATTGCGCCCAGACTACCTGCGGACATGGCTTTACCTTCCACGGGTGTGTTTTAATTTTTTTATTTGAGTTCCAAATACTGCTTTATTGTTGTGCAGTAGTAACACCACATTTTGAGTTATTGATGTCTTTGTGTTTGGCTCCAGCACCAGCAGAAGTTGTTGATAGAAAAAAGAGAGGTGACACCAAGGATAATCCCCTAAGCCAATGGTTCACTAATTTTTCTGAGGCAGATGAGCTTCTAAAACTAACAGCGGCTCGACAGCAGGTAAGTACTTAGAAAGGATGAGATCTATTAAAATTTGATACTAGTAAAGGTCAAGCCGGTGCACAAAGTATTCCCATTTAGCAAAGATTCGGAGAAGGGTCCCACCGGGTGTGAAGTAGTCAAGCCCTACCTTTTATTTTTGCACGAGGTTGCTTCCACGACACGAACACATGACCTCTAGGCCACACTAAATCACCCAATCCGGTCCTCAACGCCCCGTCCCCTTCAAGAGACTCGAACCTGTAAGGCTGTGGGATTTGATAATTGACCTCGCTTAAAAGGCATTCAAAATTTCTTATAACAACCAAACTTACCAAACATAAATCACAAAGTTCAGAATCTTGCACTATATAAGATTTTTCTTAGCTTTGTTTAACCAGAACGTGAACTCTGCCCTTTTCGTGACTTACTTTTTAGTTGAAATGACAAATAGTTTAATGTACGTAATACTGATATGTGTCTGAAATCTGAATTGAATCATTGAGCCTATAATCATTGAAGCAATGCGATATTTACCCAACCATTCACCTAGTCGTATATTAATACTACATTTATTTTTTTATCTATTGAAAGTTACAACTTACAAGTCTCATAGTGATCAATCATAAGTAGATTTGTTCCATTTATGTTTTGTTTATCTATTTTTATCATATTTATTTTATTTGTTTTGATTAAAATGGAACAAATACGTGAAAACGTAGTACTCCGTATTGTTTGTTGGAAAACTGTTTTTTTTTCAATTTTTTTTGAAACATTGTTATTTTCTTTAAGGGACCACCAAATAAGTATCTTTTACATTTTAGCTTCTAGCTATTATCTTTTGGGGAATTTATCTAAATAGTACTAAAACATAATGACTATTCTAATTTAGTACCATATGTTTTTATTTCTCAATGTAGTACCACTGTTCAATGCCCACTGGTCATTGTTCAAGTAAATATCCACCACCACTAGACATTGTTCAAATTAAATGTCCACCATCACTGGACGTTGTTCCCGCCGCTAGACATTATTTAAGTACTATTTAGGGAACAAAAAAGTTTAAGTACTACATTGGGAAAGGACATATGTTTTAGTACTATTTACTGCAAATTTCACTTATCTTTTTATCTTTTATCTCAATGAGTCAAACATAGCCAAAACCCAGTACAAGTATTTGATTCTTAACATTACTTCTTATATGTCATATTGTTCTACTCTCTATGTCCTGGATTTATCTTCATAGCTATTCTAGACTTTCGATAACTTTTGTTTGTTTGCACGATTTCATTGACCATTTGATAAAAATAAAATATTCATGTCACATCTTGTTTTATAGAACTCTTGATGTAGTTTTTGATATGTAGCTTTTTATTTCTATACCAATTTGTAAATAAAATGATTTTAAAATAGATGAGGCTCACGTTATTCGAAGTGAGACAATGATTTTGGGATGAAGGGAGTATTATATTATACTTTTATGCACACATGATTGAAGATGGAATGGCTAAACCACAACGACCAATAAATCAACATTAATGTTCTTGTTATTTTAAATGCTATATCTTGTAGTCAATGTAGTGTTAAATATATACTCCATTCGTTACCAAATAAAATCCCAAATTTGGGATGCCAGTAAACCCACCATTGGGGTTATTGGACGAAGAGATACCAACCTTTTCTTTTTTACAGTGGCATGGTTACTGGCATAATGACCCATGGATGGTATTATTCATAATAAACTGACTTGTTTTGGTTGCACGTGGTGTTACATTGGTGGCTAACTAAGTTTCTACTCGTTAAAATTTGTATATTTTGTTGTAATTTACTTTCGCTTTTCAAGAAATCTGAGTTCTTCCTTTTATCCCGCATGAAATGTCCACAATTTTTTACTCGTCATTCATCTACATGATTGGGTCATTGAACTCGGATACTATGGAACAATTAATTATGATATGCTACTACATTTTGTGACACATGTGTACTTGACAAACCAATTTTGCAAATGAATGGAAATTGTGGATCGTGTGGAATAAAAAGGAAGAGTTCTGGAATAAAAGAAAATTAATTTGCTTGAAAGTTTAAATTTTAGAGAGTGAGCACTTACTCAACAACCAACATGTCACCATGTACAACAAAAACAAATGTTGGTATGTTATGACTTATGAATAATACCCTCCACTAGCCGGTATGCGTATGCTACCGGCCATAATAAAACGCAGGTATGATTTCATCCACTACCTCAGAGGTTGGTTTATTGGTGTCCAACTTTTCTATAGAAAATGACAACAAGTCAACAATGTGGTTTATATTTTTTTAAAGGAGAGAGAAATAGTATAAACCACATAATGTTTTCTTAGAGTTAAATGAGAGATAAATTATAAGATAAAAATGAAATTGGGAAAATTATTAGGAAATAGAGGGAGTAATTTAAGTAGGAAAAGTAATCTTTTCAATCTTTTTTGTCATTTCTGCCATTTTGTCCAGGAAAATTATTCCTAGACATTCTTTTTTTTTTTTTCTGAAGTCCCTACGTCGCTATTTAATGCTCTCACTTTTCCTTTTGGGTTGTCCCAAATTAATTATTCTGTCTCCCTCTTAAGAAATATTTGTATGGTCCATTTGATTTCTCTCTCATCTACAATTATATAATTTCCCCTTTTTAAAACTTTGTGCAAAGTCAAAGTGTAGGAACGTTAAAAAGGGACGGAAGAAGTATTAGATAGATCATTTGCCAATAGGAAAAAATGTTTGGTGGAAGTGGTTGTTACTTTAACTTGGAGACTATCCATCAAATGGACCCTTTGTTTTCCAAAAAACCATGAACTCCTGTAACCAAACCAGGTAAGAGGGCCTGGCCCAGCCCACTCGGAGCTCCAATTCTTAAAAGCCCGTGTCAGGCCTTGTCTTCATTCGAAAAGTAATACTCCATATCAAAAATTATTTATATACATTTATTCATATCAGTTCAGAATATACAAATTGTCTAATCTGGAACTTCTCAAGCCTAAGCCTAGCAATAACATCAACAGACTTACTTAAATCCCTCAACACATGTTGAATTTTTAAATTTTAGAGCCTAATGATCTATTGCTTTCTCTGATCTTCGCCAACAGTCTTTGATCATTCCAGTATACTTGGGTGGTATTTCTGCTGACTAACCGCGAAGAACTCAATGAAAATATCTCAGTTATGACCTTGTCTCTCTCCATATACTCTTATGGCATATCCACCCTAAGTTCCACTGCCATCAACATTCAGTTTGATCCAGCACGGCGGAGATTTTTGCCGATCCATTTGAAATAGACGGTTAGGCACGCCTCTTAACAGATTCATGGGGCTGGATCTTCTTCCACACAGTAAAGCTAATGCAGCGTAAGCCTCGCAATGGTTTTAATGGTGTCCTGAGAAATAAATTCTTTCCCAGATAACCTAACATTGTTTCTATGCCCAAAATCCTATCAAGCCAAGAACTTGTATCAGTTGCTTCCCTTTAGTTTCAAGCAGCAAAAATAAGTACTAGTTTAATAGTTTTCAAATCCTTATGGTATCGGGTATCCCCTACAAAAAAGATGGACAATAGACTCTTCCTGCTTATTTGTGCATACTTCGACAAGACATAGATGATTGCCTTCACATCACCTTTGTTCAAGCACTTCGTTCCTAAGAGAGGATTGGAGCATATGTAAAACCACGTTCCACATTTTGCTGGGTTTTGTATCCTGACCCCCCCTCTCTTTAGTGTGACCAAATCTTCTATCCCAATGCCCCAATGCATTTTATTTTCGTAATTTTTCCTGTATCATTTTAATAGACAATTAAGCATTACTCCCTATTTAATACAATTTGAATAAACTATCTTTATAGAGTTATTAATGTATGTCTCTCAAAATTGGTTTCTTTAAAAAAAAGCCCTCTTAAGCCTTGGACCAACTGAGGCGGCCTCAATGGCATAGGTCGTAGCCCGACCCTGTCTTTATAGAGCAGGTCCTGGGCCTCTCGTTTTAGTCTCGGCCAGAGCGCAGATAGAACTTGCTCTTTGCCATCTCTTAATTAAAATGTAGATGATTTTTTTAAAAATAATTTGAGTGCCACCAAAAATTTCTTAAGTACTTGCCGATGAATTGAGGCTGCAACGATCTGGATACTCTCCTTTATTTGATGAAATTTGAATACCATAGGTACAAGGCCATATTGCAAGGCTTCGGAGGCAATTGAGCATGATTAATGGGCAGCATCAGCAGCTGAAATCTGCAACAGAGTTTTGAAATATAATATTTTTATACGATTCACAGGTTTGGCAAATGAGAGTTTCTGTATTTTTGGAATGAAATTATAATATCGTCATATATTATTGTGCTCCAACCCCAAAAGTCTTCAAATTGGGCTTATGATCTTGGACCTCCGAGGCTTCATTATTGGGTCTGGCACTCTTTGGTCCAACGTATCCATCAATGTATATTTTGTGATTTAGATTAATGGAGAGGAGAGAGTATTGATGTGTGATACTATATCTATATACACTTACACAGCCACATTTTGGTAAGGGTAATGCTAGACTCACAAATCAAATATACAAATTTATCCAATATGTGAAGTAATGATATCAAATAATGGTCTCAAATAATTAAAAATAAAAACTTAAATACATAAATAGTAAATTTGTGTATTTTGTTAGTGTTTTTGTTTGTGACTAGCATTACTCGATAAAAAAATAATTTCTTTTCATGTACAAGTCAAAAGTTAGGCCTTAGCAAAATCTCAACTTGAATAGAGGGAGCATCTCCAACCATTCATGTTATAAAAAAATCACCCTAAATAATACCAGAGTAGTAAAAAAAAGAGAAAAATACTAGAATAAGAGTTTCTTTTTTTATCCTCAAAATAAGAGTTTACATTGTGAAATTTCTATTTTGATATATTTCTATGTTTTATTCTTATTTTAGTTTTTTTTCCCATGCTATATGAACTTGCTATTTTTGAGTGAATAGTAATATAACAAGTACCTTTTTGTGTCATTCTCAAAGTAGGGCGGCGGCGGTATGGCTTGCTATTTCATTTTTAACTACTATCTTGTTATAATTTTAGAAACTTGTTAGGTCATGTACTCTTCAACTTATTCTTATTACGTATTTTCTTCGTCCATAATTTATCTTCCCACTTTCCTTATTTGTCCGTCCATAAATTATCTTCTCGTTTCCTTTTTTGGCAAATGTTTTTTCTTTAAACCGCATCACTACCCTCACCTTTACCCATTAATTACTATTCATACCTATACTTTATTTCAATATTTGTTATAACCCAAGGAAAAATATGGAAAGTCAAAATATTTTTTACTTTTCCTTAATTTGCATGTAAAATTAAAGCGAGAAGATTATTTTTGGATGGAGGGAGTATTACTTTTTCTTATTGAAATCAGATCAATTCTTAACTGAATTTTTTAAAGTTGATGTGATCTCATTTTAATGAATTTGATCTAATCTAATCTAAATTAATCTGATCTGACTTGATCTGAATTAATCTGATCTAAAATGGATCTAATCTAATTTGCATAAATCTAGTTCAAATTCAAATAATTAGAGTAATAATAATATTTAAATTTTTTTATTAATTATTATTAATAATATTTACAATAATGATTTCTATTTTTAATAAATATTATTATTATTATTATTATTATTATCATCATCATCATCATCATCATCATCATCATCATCATCATCATCATCATCATCATCATCATCATCATCATCATCATCATCATCATCATCATCATTATTTTAGTAATTATATTTATTATTATAATAAGATATTATCATTATTATTATGTGTTATGATTAATGCTGATTATTATCATTATTACCTATAATTATAATTAAAATAATAATTATTGTTAGAGTATATTATTATTATTAACTAACAATTATTATTCTTATTATATTGAAAAATTAATATTATTATTAATTGTTATTATAATTATTATTAATTATTATTATTTACTAATAATAATGAATATTATTATTTTAATAATTATAAAAAAAATTTATTATGAATAATTAGAAATGTAATTAGTAATTAATATTATTATAATCATTACTATTTTTATAATTATATTTATTATTATTATTATAAGGAATTATTATTATTACTATTATTATTATTATTATACTTACAAATAAGTATTATTATTAATTGTTATTATCATTACCTTTTAATACTCCATCCGTCCCAAAAAGATCGTTACGTTTCATTTCTTTGCGCATCACAAAAAGCAATGCTACTCACATCTAAAAATTCTAAAATTTACCATATTTACTCTTTATTATAAGATGAAATTGTTTTGAAAGTTTTTTTGGCATTTGAGACGATATAAAAATATTTTAAGGGATGTGCAAAAAATGAAACGTAACGATCTTTTTGGGACGGAGGGAGTAGTATATGATTATTATTATTTTAATTATTATTACTATTTTTATTATTAAGTACGATAGTCATTAATTAATTAATTTTTATTATAAATTATTATTTTTATTAGTGAATTATAAATATTCTTATTATTATTATTTTAACCATTCTTATTATTAAATATTAATTACTATTACTATAATTATTATGTACAATGATAATAAATTATTATTATTCTTATTAATTATTACAGTTATTATATAATGATGATAATAATAATTACTATTGTAATTATTATTATTATAAATTTATTTATTTTTCAAATAATTTTCAGATCTGAATTTATTTGATCTAACCTTATCTGACTTTGATAAGCTTAAGCAATAGTAGCAGAAATAAGTTGAAGAGAATGGGACCTAATTATAAATATATTTAGATTAGATCATGATACGAACTACGTATCGGATAGGGAAGACTTAGAGCGTCTTCAAGCTCATGAGAATATGGGACGAGGAAGAAGAAGAAGAATTGAGGCGAAGAGGGAATAGGCGAACCGAGAGGGGAGAAGGAATTAGGGTTTTGATTTGTTTATTGATTGCTTAACTCTAAATGGGGTTACATCTCTTTATATAGGGAAGAAGCTAAGGAAACCCTAACGCTAACCTGACGGTTCAATAAAAGCGACGAGAAAAAGAACCGTAAAGAAACCTCGAAGGAGCTTATAATTTCGCTCACCTAATAAAATCTACATTACAATAATAATAATAATAATAATAATAATAATAATAATAATAATAATAATAATAATAATAAATAATAATAATACTATTAAATACCCTACTCTACTATCCATAACAGATCACACCATATCAGATCAGATGAGTCGAGAATTTATTCTAATCAAATCAGAACGATTCAAATCAAATAAAAGAACATGGCCTTATATTTAGCAAGTCATAGTAATATTTTGGCAAGCTTGCTAAAATATAGAACATTGTTTTTAGAAGAATAAAAGGGTTTGACTTACTAAATTACATTCCTTCATTCCTTAAAAAATATTTCATTTATTACTTTTAAGATATTTAAGAAGATAATTTTTTAGTATTGACTTTCCAAAATTTTCTTAGATATGATAAATAAAAGTAAAATGCGATAATTAGATTAATAGTTAATAGATATGATCTGATAAGTAGGGTGAGAATTAATAGAGATAAACTTGATTTTTTAATAAAAAGTAAAAAAGTTTGTTGATGTAGATGAAAAGTGAAAGATTTTTTTTAAGGATGAAGGGAGTAGCTTTTAACAAGCCAAAATGAAATGGTTATATAGATTTGCTAAGTGAAATTTGCACTAAATAGGACTAAAACATAATAACTTTCCCAATATAGGACTTGAACTTTCTTATTTTCTAAATAAGACTTAATAATGACCTAGTGGGAGGAATAATGTCCAGTAATGATGGACATTTACTTGAATAATGACTACTTTATAATGATCAAAAGTCCTACATTGAGAAATAAAAACATATGGTCCTATATTGAAAAAGTCATTATGTTTTAGTCCTATTTAGGTAAATTTCTCTACAATGAATAGGACTAAAACATAAGTCATTTCCTAATGTATGACTTAAATTTTTTTATTCACTAAATAAGACTAAATAATGACTAGTGAAAAGAATAATGTCCAAATGATGTTGGACATTTAGTTGAATAATGACTAATAGATAATGACCAATGGTCCTTCATTGAGAAATAAAAACATATGGTACTATATTGAAAAGTCATTATGTTTTAATCCTATTTAAGTAAATTACTCAAATAGTGAAATAGGCATATTAAATAAGCTAATAAAATGCATTTGATCGTGTTTATTTAGGGGGTGTTTGTTTTTTCTGCAGGAAAAGGTCTGCGGACTACTACTGTAGACATCTGCAGGAGAAGTGGTGGACCGAAGGTCTGCGGTCTGCAAGAAGAAGACTGTTTGTTTTTTAATGTCTGTAGACTGCTATATAAATTAATGGTGGTAGTGTACGGTGGTGGTGTATGAACGATTGTGGTGGTGGTGGAGGGTGGTGGTGAAGGGTGGTGGTGGACGTTGACGGCGGTGGTGATGGACGGTGGTGGTGGTGGCGGTGGATGGTGGCGGTGGTGGTGGACGACGGTGGTGGTGATGGTGGACGGTGGTGATGGTGGTGGACGGTGGGGATGGTGGTGGACGGTGGTGGTGGTGAAGAGAAGTAGAAGAAAAAATAGAGAAGATGTTAGAAGACATATGTTAATGTCTTCTCCAAGAAGATGCGAGGAAGACCTTTTTGAGTGAAATGTCTTCCAAAAAACAAACAATCTGCAGAGCTCAGCATCTGCGCGGCGCAGACAAAAAAGGCCAGAAGCTCTTCTGGCCAAAAAACAAACCCCCTTAATGATATACACTAAGAGCTAACTTTCAATATTTGGAATGCATCTCATAACTTGATCTGTTATTATTCATAAGACAAATTAAAACACAACGAGCGTTGAGTGCATCTCAAAATTGTGACCCCATCATATGATAAAACACTCCAAGCAGGGAAAGGAGCATATGCATGCCATGAAAGGCCTATGATGACTCGTAACCGGCCGGCCTCAAGGAAAACATATACAATAATGCCACCTGCTCTTTGAATTGATCGAATAAGCTAAGCACAACTAGTTCTAAAAGTCTTTAGAACCTTTCACAAATCACAACCCTTGATTACTTATTGTCTATTTTAGTCTCATCGCTGTAATAATAACGCGACGATGACTCGCCTTTCTCAACCTGCTTCCCCGTTTCCCAACCCGGCCGCGGCTCGTCGTCTCTCTTGAGCCGAAACGCGATGCACGCCACCGTGTACGCGATTGCTAGGAAGAACAACATGACGAGGTTGATGACGGACGCCGTCCTCCAGCTCTCCCTCACGCTCCCCATCACCCCCGCTTTGCAGGAGTCACAGCTGTAGCATAGCTGCCGCTGATCGTTGCTCCACCGGCCGCAGTCTCTCTCCGTTGCCGCCCCCAGTAACATTCCCCTGTTGGCCGACGTCGCCGTCTTCCAGTAGGTCTCGTTCACGTAAGCAAATCGACATGCCGTAGGCGGTTTGCAACACCCTGACTGTCATACACAAGAAATATATGACTCAATTATATTGTATGAAAAAAAGAGAGTTACTCACATGTATTTATAATGGAAAAAGAAGAAAATGAATGCACTAACGTAACTTGAAGAACAATTGGTGACATTTTCAAAATTGAAGGACTAACAAGGCAAATGAAGTACCAAGAGTGCAACTCAAATGTTATATGCGTGAAGTACGACTCAATTGTATGAAAAAGAAAGGGTTGTTCACGTGTATTTGTACATGAAGTGACAGCAAAATTTAACCAAAGGACGACAAAGCATGTGTAAAGCGATAACATAAAAGACCAACGGTGCAATTAAGCCATATTTTACGCACCTGAATAGGGCTAAGGTCTCTCGTGTAAAACATGTCGGCGGTTTCCGGGAATCCGTTGACAGAGCTCACCATGTTCTCGCAAACACGAGAGCCCCTAAGACAACGACCGATCTGCGCCCAGTGAGTGGGGGCGGTGACGGCTCGGACAAGCCACCCGTAGAAGTCTTGGAGATAAAACTCTTGGTAAGCCCGGTTCAGGATGGGCCGGCCGGTGCCTTCCGTGACGCCGTAAGCGAAGAAGATGAAGCCGATGAGGAGGAGGAGGATGGCGAAGGTGCACCAGACGTAGATGTATATGAGGAAGTTGATGTCGTAGAAGGCGCCGGCGAGGCCTGCGGCTGAGGCCGCCATTATCAGGGCGGCGATCAGTATGATGGGCAAATGGAGAAACTCGAAGCAGTCGGTGGATTGGGATCGGCTTTTCAGCCATATCCCGCCCCCGAGTATTGGGGTTGATGCTGCGAAGCTTAACAATATCATTAGGGCGATCCATGGGTTTTTGCATCTTTTCATCATCGCGCCTCTTCTTCTTCTTCTTCTTCTTTTTAATTTTCTCAAAACTTTATTTCTTTCCTATGCTATATGCTATGTGGAATTGGTGGAGATGAAAGAGATGGTGGAGTGGGGAAGGCGTTGGAGTGAGGTGAAGGGGAAACACCGTTGGTGTATGGATTGACTGTAAAAAAGTAAGTAAAGGAAGAAAGAAAGCTCCGTGCACTTTTTTTCCCTCTTTTGGTTGTCAAAAAGTTACTCAACATACTCTTCCAGTTTTTTTAAATATTCTCTTTTTTTATTTTTTCAAAATATTTCTATTTTTTATTAAAACCCATTTTTATATTTATCTTTTCTTACCCTACCTATCACATCATATTTTTTAATTAATAATCCGTCTATCATATCTTACTTTTACCCATCACATCAACTCATCAAAGACAAAATTATAAAATCAATCACATATATAAACTTTTAATGGAAGAATTATTAGGGACTGTTTGTTTCAGCCTCTTAATGGTTCAGATGTCTGAATGGTTCAGCACTTAATGGTTCAGACTGTTTGTTTCAGCCTCTTAATGGTTCAGATGACTGAATGATTAAGATATTTGCCTCTGAATGGTTAAGTATTATACAGAGTGTGAATGGTTAAGACCTCTTATCTGAATTGATCAGACATTTGCCTCTGAATAGTTAAATAATATACTAGCTCTTAATGGTTCAAACCTCTTACTGGTTCAGTACTTAATGGTTCAGACCTCTTACTGGTTCAACACTTACCTATTCAGAAGTTGCCAAACAGCCCCTTAGTCTTTGTATATTTAAATTTTTTACAGTAAAAATTGATATATTAGCAAAATAAAATTAATATTAGATATTAATTCAAAAATAATTTTATTAGATTTCTTCTTAAAAAAAATTTCAAAATACTCCGTATTATTTAACTAATTAATACGGAGTATATAATATAATTTTCATTTAATTATAAATCAAACCATAAAATTGGTTGACTACGAAACTCAAAATTTGAGAATTACTACCGGGTAATTAAGGACTAAAAAATTATGTTCAATTGGGAAGAACTTCTAAATTAATCCATATTATATTCATCCTAAAATACCTTTAAGCTACTCGGTTAATTAAAAAAAGTAAAATTTCAAGAAATCACTCTAAATAGAAATAAAACACAACTCTTTAATTATCCCAAAATAAAAGTGTTATGTTTTTATCCTCAAAATAGAAGTAATAATGCTAGTATCAATGTGACATTATATGTTGACATTCCGTAGTAATTTTATGGTCATGGAAGTGATGGTCGTGGTTCGTCAGCCCGCGATGGTGGAGGACAATAGGATGGTCGTGGCACGCGTTACAGTGGCCGTGGGTCTGGCCATTGGACTGGATGTCCCATTAGCAACACAGCAATCATCGACAAACCCACCAATACTGTCGACAATGGCAATGGCGCACAAATATTGTTATCGCTGAGTTCTCCGTCAACCTTAGTGATCAAATGGCACGTCTTATGTCTCTCCTTGAGTCCTCCGTGTCCAACCATTATAATGGTATGCCTCTTCCCTCTTGTGACAGGTTAATTGAAAGTGGTGCATCTCACAATATGATAGAGAACTTATCTCGGCGAGCTGTCTTTTTTTGATCTCGTCACCCTCTGTCTTGTCTGTCTCAGTACGTTTGTCTCTCCACTTGCATTGATATTCCATTTTCAGGTTCCTCTTCTCTGTCTTTGGTTTTGGGTACAAAGTTTCCTATTACTAACTTTGTTCATTATGATAGATTGCATGGCATGTATCTAACATTTCTGGGAGCTTTTAACACTAGTACTGAGCCAAGGAATTTTCGTGAGGCTGTTCAGTTTGCCTCATAGGGTGAGGCTATGGGTCAGGAGTTACTCACTTTGGAACGTAATCATACATGGGAAATCACATATCTTCCTCCAAACCGTCATGCCTTGGGGTGTCACTGGGTTCACAAAACTAAATATAATTTAGATGGTACCAAAGAATGGGACAAAGCTTGTTTGGCTGTCCGCGGTAATCATTAAGAGTTTGGGGTAGATTACATTAACACCTTTGCTCCGGTGGCAAAACTAGCCATGGTGCGCGTGCTTTTGTCTATTGCAGTTGCCAGGTCATGGGAAGTTCACCACTTGCATGTTCATAATACATTGTTATATGGTAATCTTCAGGATGAGGTTTGTATGAAGCAACCCCCGGGGTATACATCAGCTTATCCTGAAAGGTTTGTCGGCTAAGAAAGTCACTTTATGGTTTGTGCCCGTCTCCGCGAAATTGGTTTACTAAGCTACGCCATGCCTTGTGTAGCTTTGGATTTTGGTAGGCCCACACCGACCACACTTTGTTCGTGAAGCGTTGTGGTTCGGACTTTCTAGTTGTTTTGGTGTATGTTGACGATATTCTCGTGGCAGGTAATAATTTATCTGTGTGTATCTCCTTAGTGAAGTACCTTAATGATTGTTTTTGCTTGAAGGACCTTGGCCCAGTTTCCTATTTTTTGGGGATAGAGTGTGCATGCTCTCTGGAAGGCATGGTTTTGAATCAATGCAAGTATGCTTTGGATACTATTCAGGAGGTCGGTTTGTCTGGTTTTTGGCCCGCGGACATGCCAATTCATCATAGTCACAACCTTGCTATGTCCCGTAGTGCTGAAATACGTGATCCCACGACATATCGTTGTTTGGTTGGTTGGTTATTATATCTTACCATTAGTCGTGCGGATATATGTTATCCCGTCCATGTTTTGTCCAAGTTCATGCAGGCCTCGTGTCTGGATCACCTAAAAGCCATTATGCGTGTTGTTTGTTAATTGAAAGGGCACCCTAGTCAAGGCATTGTACTCCGCAACGATAGTAATCTAGTTCTTAAAGCTTAGTCTGATTTAGACTGGACGAGCCGTATACTTACTCGCAGGTCTGTCACTGGTTATTTTATTATGTTGGTAGGGTCTCCGATTTAATGGTGCTCTAGAAGCAGACTACTGTGTCTCATTCTTCCACTGAAGTAGAGTACCGTGCCATGGCACATGCATGTAGTGCGATCCGGTGGACTCATGGTTTGTTGGTGATGGGTGTATTTCACCCTGTAGGATCGTTAAAGAGGTGTCAAATGCTTCCTAAAACAAATTGGTGATAGGAAGGTGGACACTTTGTATTTAACCACATCTCTCTGTAGCCCCAAAGTTAAGGTAGATTCTTATAAGGCACCCCCTATAGTTCACTACGGCAGTGCGGAGCCCCACTACTGAGCGGTGGATGGACACGAGCGGCTTCGCAAGATACACGACTCGTGTACCTAGTCAGGTTGGGCTGTCAGTACCCGATACCGTGACTAGCACAGTAGCGAATCCCTAAGGGTGATCGATGGTCCCCCATAAGACCAACAATCTCCCCCCCCCCCCAGCGACACCCGGGGGATTCGAGCCTGCTTCCTCGCTCCGATACCACTTGTAGGATCGTTTTTTTCTAGAACTTCCCAATGGGTCACCCCTCCTGGGACTACTCCCATTCCAGCACGCTTAACTACAGAGTTCTGAAGTTAAAGAGGTACCAAATGCTTCCTAAAACCAATTGGTGATAGGAAGGTGGACACTTTGTATTTAACCACATCTCTCTGTAGCCCCAAGCCGATGTAGATTCCTATAGGGCACCCCCTATAGTTCACTACGGCAGTACGGAGCCCCACTACTGGGCGGTGTATGGACAGGAGGGGCTTCGCAAGATACACGACTCGTGTACCTCGTCAGGTTGGGCTGTCAGTACCCGATACCGTGACCAGCACAGTCTCCTTCGATGACTTGTTCCGAGGATGATTCTTCTTCCTTTGACCATCTTCCCCAAGTTATTGAAGTCCCTTTACCCAATCTTTTCACCCCTGAAACAGACACAGAAACACAACCCGAAAGTAAAGGTGCTTTATTAAATCAAAGAAGGAAAAGAATTGCGGATCAGTTGCTACAACATTATCGGAATGGCAAACTTCAGCATGGTACCATAAAAAAATTGGCTGAAGAATTCAGCATTACAAGTAGAACTGTAAGCAGCATTTGGCAGGCAGTTCAAGCTCAAATCCAAGGAGGTCAACCCATTGTTGTAGAGTGTAAGTGGAAAGGAAACTGTGGCAGAAAAAAGATGGCAGTGGACTTTGAAAAAATGGCAGCTCTACCTTTTAACAGGCGCAAAAACATATAAGTTAGTAATGTAAGTCTCCAACCTATACGGGGTGACATTACAACTTTGCCAAATCAGTAAGAAGTTTGCATCATAAGTTTGCCACTTCAGAAAAAAATTAGGGCATGCAGAAAACAGAGAGTAGAATTAAAGAAAATAGCGAAATTACTCTTCGTGTAGCGAAGTGCCTTTGCCTCATCTCTATATGGCTCTTCGAAAACAATTTCTGTATCAGACATCGCCAGGATCTGTTCTGAGGTAACAGATTCATCATCTTCATCCTCTTCCCCATTTTTGACACAACCTTCTTCTTCTTCTGAAGGAAAAAAGTCACCCCCTAGATATTTTTTTCCAGTACCACCATGTTGGATCTGTATCATCGGTTGCAGATGCAGTGTCCCCAGGGTCATAATCAGAGAATAAAGGCTTCGAAGTAGTTGGGACAGGCGTAAGAGCCAATCTCTCCTCATCACTATCAGATAATAGCTTGAAGCTTGGCATCGTAGGATCAGGAAACCCCATAAGAAATTTTAGATCAATCAAAGAAAAAGAGAAGGGAAATCTGA